TTTTTTTTTTTTTTGGAGACAGGGTCTCACTATGCAGTTTAGGCTGGCCTTGAACTCACGATGTAGCCCAGGCTGGCCTCGAACTCATGGCAATCCTCCTGCCTCAGCCTCCTGAGTGCTGGGATTATGGGCATGTGCCACCACACCTGGCCTGACTGATGTCTTGTTGTGGCTTTAACATGCAATTCCCTAGTGACCAGTGGTGCTGTGTTTTCCCCATGGTCTCCAGCCCTCCTGTGTCTTCTCTGGTAAAGCTCAGGTCAAACCATCTTCCTGCTCAGCCGAGCAGTTTGTCTTCTCATCCCTAAGCCTTGAGAAGTTGCTCTGTAGCCCACACACAAACTCGTGATCAGACATGCGTTTCCCGAAGACTTTCTCTTGCGCCGCACATGATCTTTTCATTTCTCCCCAGGGCACAGAGCATGCATTTTTATTTTGGATGAGATCCAATTTGTCACTTTGTTCTTTTATGGATCATAAAGTGTTGTAGCCAAGGAACCTTTGTTTAACCCATGATCCCAAAGATGGCCCGTACCTCTTTGAGTTGTACTGGTTCAGATCTTACATGTAAATCCATGACCCATTAGAGCGGGGCCTGGTGGGGTGTGCCTGTAATCCAAGCCCTCGGGAGGTTGAGGCAGGATGCCACCTCGGGCTACATAGTGAGACTCTGTCTCGAAAACAAAACGAACATGATACATATGTACATATATGTATTTGCATGTGTGTTTATCTGTAGGATAAACTCCTAGACATGAGGCAGGTGTGGTGGTACACACATGTAATCCTAGTACTCTTTAAGGCTGAGGCAGGAGGATTGTAAATTCAAGCTGAGTTTGGGCATTGTAGATACTTACTTACCAAGATCCTCTCTTAAAATAAAAATAGAAGGGCTGGGGATGTCGCTCAGTGCAAAGGCCCTGGGTTCCATCCCCAGCACCTCTATAAAAAGGGAGGGCTATGCACACTTGTGGTCCTGAGAGATGTGCCCCCATTTGCACTTACAGATCTAGGGGCACTGCTCCCCACATCTCTACTATCGTCCTAAATCAGAGCTTTTACCTGTGCCCGTCGACAGGTGAAAATAAATATAGACTCTGTCTTGGGTCAATTTACGCTGCTACTGCTATTGATGAAGCCGAGCATAGTTTTAGATATTTCAAACACAGGCTGTGGATTTGCTCAGTGGTACAATGTGCACCTAGCATGTGAGAGGCCCTGGGTTTGATCCTGGTACCTAAAAATAAAACCAACAGCAGCAATATCTACTTCTGATTCTTCTTTTAGGATCTGTGATCCCTGGTCCTTTCTTTCCTTTTACTGAATTATTGGCCTTTCATTGATCCATGGGCACTTTTTATGTATCAGTGAACTTCACCTTGTGTGTGTGTGATCTATGCATATTTCCCCACATGGTCTTTTGCCTTGTATCCTTTGTTCATAATGTTTTTCTATGCATATTTTTAAAAATATGTAATCAAATATATTTGTATTTAGCCAGATGTGGTAGCTCACACCTGTAATTGCAGCACTCTGGAGGCTGAGACAGCGGGATTCCTGTGAGTTCAAGGCCAGCCTGGGCTACCTAGTGAGACCCTGTCTCAAAAAATAACAAAAAATTGTATTTCCCTTTGCTGGGCTGGTGGCACACACCTGTAATGACACCACTTGAGAGGCTGAGCTCGAGGCCAGCCTGGGCTACATAGCAAGATCCAGTCTCAAAAAACAAAACAAAACAAAACAAAAAAATATATATATATTTGATTGATTCCTTAATCATCATTATGATTGTTGTTTTTGAGACAGTCTTGCTATGTTGTCCAGCTCTACCTCAAATTTGGGCTCAGGTGATTCTCCTGCCTCAGCCTCCTGACTAGCTGTTATTCCATGATGATGGGGTAGACTCTGATCCTTTGTGGGCAGGATTCCATGATGAAACACCTTTCCTTTGGTTGTTCCTCCCTTGGTTCAAATCCTTAGGAAACATGAAAAACCTCTAGAACATCTCCAACCCTCCCTCTCCGGTTCCCCTCTGACTTAGTTTCTTCTACAGTGGTAACACTGATGTTAGTCCAGGTCTAGGTGAAAATGCTCTGACAGCTAGCCCTGGGGGCGCACACCTGTAATCCCAGCACTCTGGGAGGCTGAGGCAGGAGGATCACAAGTTTGAGCCCACCGTAGGCAACTTAGCAATTTAGCGAGACCCTGTCCCAAAATAACGCTCTACCCAGTCGCCCCCAGGAAATAAACTGCGCTCTCTCCCCCACAAAGGCGTCCAGTGGGCCGGCATTTGGGCAGACAGCTGGCTCAGTTAGAAGTAGTCAGGAAGGGCTGGAAAGGCCTTCCAGCTTGGTGACTTCTAAAATAGCGTCGGCCTCTTTATGTGCATCAGCTCTGCAGTGCTGCCAGTAGAAAAGGGAAATGAACAGAGGAGGGGGCAAACAGCTCCTCTTTTATTTATTTATTTATTTATTTATTTATTTATTTATTATTTTATCTCCTCTTTCAAAGCATGACCTACAAGATGAACTCACTTCTCGTCTCTCATAGGCCAGGACTTTGTCACGTGACCTCCCCACTGCTGAGGATTCTGGGAGGTGTAGTTTCTAGTTGAGGCCAATGTGCTCTGCTAGCGTTTGCGCGTAGTAACCCGAGGAAGAGAGGATGGGCCCAAAGATTCTTGGATCTGTGCTAAGCCACCTCACGAGGGTGGATCGGTCAAGCCCAGACAGGATACTGAAACCGCACAGTAATTTGGACTGGAAAGGCTTCATGTAAAGAATGATTCACACCCAAGCGGTGGCTATTATTTAGAAAATGTCAAGTGTGGGCCAGGATTTAGAGAAATTGGAACCTTTGTGCTCTGTGATGGGAATGCAAAATGATGTGGCCACTATGGGGAACAGCATGGAAGTTTCCTATAAAAAATCATAAAGCTGGTGTGCTGGTGCACACCTATAATCCCAGCACTAGAGAGGCTGAGGCAGGAGGATTGCCATGAGTTCCAGGTCAGCCTGGACAACATAGCGAGCTTAACGGCAGCCTGAACTGTATAGCGAGACCCTGTCTCCACCGAAAACAAAACAAAACAAAACAAAACAAACCCAGGAACAGCTGATAGAAAGAGCAGCCACTTTCTCCTGGGCTGGAACTAACTCCTCCCTCCGGTTGCCCCCAGGCAGCAAGATATTTGGAAGAGGGATTCCCTCCCCCCTCCCCCACCCCACTTCCCTGGAGAGGGCGTGGCGCTGGGTGGGTGAGTGACTCTGGGTGTCCGCTGCAGGGCTGACCGCTGGCAGTCACGCATCCGCGAGGACAGGACGGTCAAGCTGGTCCTCACTGCACGTCCCTGTAGTGCCCTCTGCCGGTCAAACTTTAAACGGAGCCAGCTCGCCAAGAGAAAGGCTCTCCTGGGTCCTGCTCAGGTCCCCAAAACCAGTGGGACTGGAGCTCCGACGCCACGTTTTGGTCCCGGGTACAGTGAGGGTGTTAGAATTCAGTAGAACAAGAGGGCTCTGGTGGTGCACACCTGTTTTCCCAGCACTCGGGAGGCTGAGGCAGGAGAATCCAATGTTGGAGCCCAGGCTGGGCAACTTGGAGACTTAATGAGGCCTTGTCTCAAAATAAAAAAATAAAACAGTGTAACTTAGTGCAAAGGCCCTGGATTCCATTCCAAGTGCTGCAAAAACAATAAAGCATCCAAAATACTACCTTGACCGGGGATCTGTCATGTGGCCCCAAGGGGGTGACAGGAGATGTGGCCTCACCATATTCCAGAAGGAAGAAGGGACAGGGGTGGGGAGGTGGCCTGTTTATGGCTGCCACATGCCACTGCCCAGTTTTGCCACCTTGGATGACTGACATCTCTTCAGGTTGTTGTATTTGTTTTTTAGCACTGGGAACTGAACCCAGGGCCTTTGCTCTGAGCTCCACCCCTAGCCCTTTTTATTCATTCATTTTGAGACAGAATCTTACAGAGTTGCCCAGGCTGGGCTCAAATTTGGGATCCTCCTGCCTCAGCCTCCCAGGGTCCTGGTAGACACTGTTCTTTGCATTTTAGTCACCTGCTCTGAATGGAGGCTCATCAACCCTGCCTTTGCCATGGTCTGTGAGGATAAAATAAACGCAATAAAACAAATGGCAAATGGCCAGCACTCAGGAGGCTGAGGCAGGACAATTGCTGTGACTTCAAGGCCAATCTGGACTACATAGCAAGACCCTGCCACGAAAAAAAAAAAAAAAGAAAGAAAGAAAGAAAGAAGAAATAAGTAGCAAAGTTCCCTGCAGAGGTTGCTGTTGTTAATCTGACTGCTCCCCCATCACCCCTTCCCACCCCAGTTCATCTGTCTGATTTCTCCCGACAGGCACCTCCTGGATGATCGAGATCCTCAGCCTAATCCTGAAGGACGGGGACCCCTCCTGGATCCACTCGGTGCCCATCTGGGAGCGCGCGCCCTGGTGCGAGACCATCATGGGCGCCTTCACTCTCCCGGACCAGCCCAGGCCGCGTCTTCTGAGCTCCCACCTCCCCGTGCACATCTTCCCCAAGGCCGCTTTCGCCTCCAAGGCCAAGGTGCGGTGAGGGAGGCCACGGGGCGGGCAGCTTCCCGTGTCTCTCAGTCAGTGTCTCGCCTTGATCTCCCCTGTCCTGAACCCCACACCTTCCTCCCTGTGATTCTCCTGCCAGATCGGTCCCCTCCCTGGTGAGCGGCTGCTGCTGAGCCACTGTCAGCCTCAGGTCCTCCCTGAGAAGTCCCCCCACTGCCCTTCCTGCCTGGGGTCCGGGCCCCACCTGTGTCTGATGCCCTCCCGCTCCCCACTGCCCCCCACAGGTGATCTACCTCGCCCGGAACCCCCGCGATGTCCTGGTGTCCTTCTACCATTACTCCAAGATTGCCCAGCAGCTGAAGGACCCGGGTACGCCCGACCAGTTCCTGCAGGACTTCCTCAAAGGCGAAGGTGAGGCCCCCTCCGAGAAAGGAGGTGGGAAGAAAGTCAGAGGAGAAGGGCAGAGTGCTGGAAGCCGGGCATGGTGCTGAACACCTGTAAGCCCAGCGCTCAGGAAGGCTGAGGCAGGAGGGTCTCAAGTTTAGATCTGAGTTGAGAGAACTAAGCTGCCGATGGGCTGGCCAAATAGATGGGGGGTACACATACTGGAAGCCGGGAGGCACAGGTGGGAGGGACCCTGGACTCTGGAGCTGGGGGCTCTGGGGTGCCTGTTGGAGTTCAAGCATCCCCGAGCCAAGGGGCCCCGTGCCTGGCCCTCACCCAACCCCTCACCCACAGTGCAGTTCGGCTCCTGGTTCGACCACATTAAGGGCTGGATCCGGATGCAGGGCGAAGAGAACTTCCTATTCCTCACCTATGAGGAGCTCCAGCAGGTGGGTCCCCGCGGCCTCGCTGCCCCCACGTTCCCAGGCCTAGCACTGCGGATTCAGAACAGAGCCTGGAGCTGGGTGTGGGACGCGGGCCTGCGAGATCAGTGCAATCCAGAGCGGGTAGAGCTTCGGAGGAAACGCCAGCCGGGCGGGGAAGGAAGTCAGGACCCTGGGGCCGGGACTCACGGTCAGCGGTCAGGGAGGAGCCGGGGGTAACATCTGGGAAGGCAGCGGCGCAAAGGCCCTGGGGTGGCTTTCGCCTCAGTGCGTCCCCAGGACAGCAGAGACAAATGAGGGGCGAGAGGACGGAGGAAAGGCAGCGGAGCACTGGGGGGCTGTCGGCGGAGCTGGGGCCTCCGCGGGCTCTGAGCAGGGGAGGAAAATGGTTGGCGCAGCCGCAGCCCAAGGGAGAGGGGCACCCGGGGCGCTGAGGGAGCCCGTGGAGAGCGCACCCCTGGAGTCCGACGGGAGCCCAGCTGGGCCCGCCCCTTGCGCCGGCCGAGGCAGGCGGGGAGGAGGGGGAGACCGCGTTGCTGGGGCAACCAGGGGGGCTTCCTGGAGGCGGCGCCGCGGCGGAGGGGCCGGGCGCGGTCAGCCTGCCCCGCTGTTACTTTTCCCAGCCTGGTAAATCTGTTTAGGGGGAAAGACGAGGAAAAGGGCGCAGCCAGCCCCGCCTGTCCTTTCCCTTCGAGCCCAGTTCTCCAGACCAGAAACTGGGCCACCGAGCCCAGCAGAGCTCCCCGCTGCCCACATGGCCACTTTTCTGGGACAGAAAGGGACAGCGGTTACGAAACCAGGAGTGACCTGGAAAGGCTGTGCCGCCTGGCCCAGAGGGCGGCTGAGGGCGGCGGCGGCTTGAGTCTGACCTTCTCTGTGCTGTGTGACCTTGGACAAGCACCTTGCTGTCTCTGGGCATGACACTTTCTTTTTCAGTACTGGAGATTAAGTCCAGAGCCTTTACTCTGAGCTACCTCGCTATCTCTTTTTTAATTTTGAGAGAAGGTTGCTAAATTGCCCAGGCTGGGCTTGCATTTATAATCCTCCTGTCTCAGCCTCCCAGAGTGCTGGGATTACAGGCTTTCATCACCATGCTCAGCATGGTGCTTCTCTTCTCAAAGCTGATGGCAGAACTGGTGCAATTGTACATGAGGGACTTGGAGCTTGGTGTGCAGTAGGCGCTCAGTCTGCAGGGACCTGAGCCACCTGTCCCGAGGAAGGCGGTCCTCAGTGGCCAGCACTGTTCCTGGCAGGCTCAGGCCAGGCCGAGGGAGGAACTTGCAGGGAACAGCGGATCCTGGGACCTCGGCAAGGGCTGAGAACAGGTCACCCTGTCCTTGAGAGCCAGGCCAGCTGGGCATGGGGCACACGTCTGTGATCCCAGCGCTCAGAAGGCTGAGGCAGGAGGATCTCTGGACATTTCAGGCCAGCCTGTGAGTTCAAGTCTAGCCTACACTACAAAGTGAGACCCTGTCTCAAAAAATGAAAGAGAGAGAGAAAGGAAGGAAGGGAGGGAGGGAGGGAGGGAAGGAGGAAGACCTGTCCTAGGGCACTGGAGAGCCACAGCAGAGCTGGGAGCCGGGGAGGGGCAGGGCCAGCTTAGTGCGGAGGGCATGAGCCAGAGGCAGGGAGGCTGGGGGGCAGGCTGGGTTAAGGTTGGGTGGGACAGGAGGGGGCCTCAGTCAGTCCTGGGCTGCAGGGACAGAATCCGGGACGTGGCAGAGGCAAAAGCAAGGGACAGGACATGCCTGACGGGGTGGGGCGAGGGTGAGGACTTGGAGGCCAGGCCCAGCACCCAGCCCTGGGAGGGGCGAGCGCCGCCATCCCGGGTTCCCCCGCAGTGGGTGCGTCTGGCCTCAGCACCCCTCGCCTCTCCCCCAGGACCTCCATGGCTCCGTGCAGCGTGTCTGCGAGTTCCTGGGCCGGCCGCTGGGCGAGGAGGCGCTGGGCTCCGTGGTGGCGCACTCAGCCTTCGGCGCCATGAAAGCCAACACCATGTCCAACTACACGCTGCTGCCCCCCAGCCTGCTGGACCACCGCCGCGGGGCCTTCCTCCGCAGAGGTGGGCCACAGCGTCCCGGGAACCGGGCGCACTTCACCCAGAGCATAGCACCAGGCCTGGTGTGACACAGCCACCCAGCGGCCCCCGCAACCCCCAGAGAGCCAGATCCAAGCCCGTGCAGCGTGGGGCCTCGTGAACGCCCCCCAACCTCCTGCTCACTGCAGAAACTGTCAGATGATTGAGGCTGGGCGTGGTGGTGCTCACCCGTGATCCCAGCACTCAGGAGGCTGAGGCAGGAGGATCCCTGTGCGTTTGAGGCCAGGCTGGGCTACGTAGTGAGTTCCAGTCCAGCCTGAACTACATAGGGAGACCCTGCCTCAAAAAAAGAGAAAGTTATATATTTATAGATTCCAAGCACTGGGACACCCTGGGGGGACTCAGCCCTCTACAGGAGCTCCCCGGACCTCACACGTGCTCTGCTGTGGCATGTGCACTTCAAACACTAGGCTCGGGACCACATGAGCCCCAGGATTCCAGGCAGTGGTGGCACCCCAGTAGTCACCCCAAGAGGGGTGGGAAACCGGGAGGGCCCCACATTGGCCCGGGGCTCACAGCCAGCAGGGTCTTGCTTGCCGGGAGGGCCCCCGGCTGAGTCCCCGAGGATGCCTGGCTCTGGGCAGGGCCTCCGCTGTGTCACAGGGGTAAAGTGAGGGACGGGCCCACGTGGGGCTGCCGTCTCGGCAAGGGCCGGGAGGTGGGAAAGAAAGTGCCGATACTGGGGGTCTTGCCCCCCAGCAGCTCCTCACCTGGGCCCCTTCCTCCCTCACATCCGCAGGGGTCAGCGGCGACTGGAAGAACCACTTCACAGTGGCACAGAGCGAGGCCTTCAACCGCGTCTACCGAGTGCAGATGCGGGGGATGCCGACCTTCCCCTGGGACAAGGACCTGGGGGACAACGGCCTGGACCCTGAGCCTGAGCCTGAGCCCGAGACCGGCCCTGGCTCCGGCAAGGACTCCGAACGCCCCCACCAGTGACCCTGACAATAAATGCTTAGCTGTACCCCTCGCCTCGATGCTTTCCGGAGGCGGGGCCGCGGGGAGACGGCGCGGGGTCACGGGGGGCGGGCCGGGGCAGCGGAGGGCCCGGCATAGGGCAGGCCTCCCAGGGAAAGGCTGCGGACCTGAGGAGGAGCCGGGCCGGGCTCGGGCGGCCGCGGAGAGACGCGTTTGTGGCGTGAAACAGTTTATTCTCTGCAGAAAGGGAGGCCTGGGCCCAGCGAGCCGCTCCCTTTTGCTCCCCAGCCCCCCAGTCCTCCCGCCTTTGTGCCCCCTCTCCCCGTGCTCCATTCATGAGACCGCTAGGTGCTCACTGTTCAGATCTGCCCCGCTCACAAACCTCCAGCACCCAAGCTCGGGCCCTCCCGCTCCGGGACGCAGTTCACCCACAGCTCCGGGCGCGGTGGGAGCGGTGTCTCCCCTTTTGTCCCGAGGGGTCCTCCTCGTTTCCCCATATTCGCGTGGGGATGCTCAGCCACCTCCTCCCCCGAGCAGTCCCGGCCTGGCTGAGGCCTCGTGCGCTGTGCCAGCACCCGAAGCTCGGGGACCTTGTGTCCCGGACTGTGACCGCTCCACGCGGGCACGAGCGGCAGCCTCAGGGCCGCCCCCCTCGCCCCGCGCGAGGGCCCCAGTCTGGCTGCTGGATGCCTCTGAGCTCCGCCAGCTTGGAGAGACCGTTGTCACCAAACCTCCTGCGGGTCGGGGACAGGTAGCGGAGGCGGCGGGCAGGGATCGGGGGCATGGGGCTGCCCCAGGGCTGGCACCGGGCTAGGGGCCGGGCCTCTCCGGCGCCCCGCTGTCTCATCAGGGCCTTGGCAGGGGTGTCCTTGGAGCCCCAGGACTTGAGCTGTGGAGGGAAAGGAGAGGTGAGAGGTGGGGGTGAAGGAAGAGGAAGGAGGAACGGGGAGGAGGAGGAAGGAGGGGAGGGGGCAGGGGCAGAGGGGAGCCCTGCACCCCAGGCCCACACAGGGGGCCACGCTGCCTAGGTTTGGAGGGTGGGGAGGAACCGGAAGTGGCTGGCAGCTCCCGAGGGAGCAAATATTTGCCCAGGGCGTCGCTGCCCAGGGCCGAGGCAGCCGGACCGGGTGGAGGCCAGGACCTTGCCCCCTGCCCGGCACCCCGCCCCAGCCTCTCCGAGCCGCAGGCCCTCAGGGACTCGGAAGGCTGGAGGGACTCAGGGACATGAGGGCCTCGGGGAAACTGAGGCTGGAGGGCACAGCCCACACAGCGACGGCCTCCAGACCTGCCCCCCACCGTGGCTCTGCTGCACCCCTGCGGTCACCCGCGGCACAGCCCAGGACCCTGAGGCTCAGGGAGGACCTCGCCTGCCCCGGGTCCTCTGGCTGGTTGGAGCGGGCTCTGTGGGACCCCCTGTCTAAGCAGCTGGGGGCTGAGGGGAGCTCCTCTAAGCACTCTGGCCCCCTTTCCCTAACACCCCACCATACTCAAATCCAGAAAGGAAGCCGGGGGCTGGGGATTTAGCTCAGCGGCACAGCGCCTGCCTGGCAAGTGCAAGGTCATGAGTTCGATTCCCGGTACTGGGAAAAAAAAAAAAAAAAACCAGAAAGGAAGCCCAGAGTGGTGGCAAATGCCTCTTATCCCAGCCCTCGGGAGACTGAGGCAGGAGGATCTCTGTGAGTTCAAGGCCAGCCTGGACTGCATAGGGAGACCCTTACTCAGAAAAGCAAAAAAAGATGGTGGTTGGGGGACACCAGAAAGTGTGGCCTCACTGGCCTGAGATGAGGACATCACGGAACAAATACAAATAAATTCCATTTCGGAAATGTGTTGGTGACATTGTTGTTATTTCATTTCTCCTCGGGCCTGCACTTCTCACCACACTGAGAACCAGGGCAATTGCTCAGCCCGTTTCCTAGGCAGGAGCCCTGAGGTGTGGAGAGGGCGGGCGTGAAGCCAGGATTCTCACTCTGGGCTCAGAGGTCTCTGCAGCACCCCAGATCGTGCGCTGCCAGCACAGGGTACGGCTGCAGGGCATGGGTGAGCAGTTGTAAATGCAGGTGAACGCTTTGGCCTTCCTGACCCACCAGGCACCAGGCACACAGTAAGCCTGGGAAATGCTTCCTCCACTGGATGTGTCAGCACTTGCCTCTAATTCCAGCTCTCTAGGAGGCTGAGTCAGGAAGATCATCAAATTCAAACCTAGCCTTGGCGGTTTAGTGCTTCAGTGAGAGCTTATACCACCAGGCCCGGCATCTCCAAATTTAAAAATAAGTAAATAAATAACGAAGGACTGGGGATGTAGCTCAGTGCAAAGCCCTGGGTTCAATCCTGAGTGCCACAGAAAGGAAGAAAAAGGAGGCAGGGAAGGAGGGAGGGATGCAGGAAGTAAGGGAGGAAGGAGGGGCTTCCTGATTTTCTTGGGGGCAGCAGGGACCCTGCGGGCCACCCCCCAGACCATGGCAAGGGCCATCCCTCTCTGGGCCTCTGCCACCTCCACTCAGGCAGTGGCCACTGGTCTCACCTCACCGTCCCCGTCGCTGGAGCCCGACAGCTGGGACAGACGGCTCAGGTCCCACAGGGACCGGCTGGGCCGGGTGGGGGGGCCGCTGGCCGTCCGGGCACCCTGCACGCTGCGGAGGATGTCGCTGAGCGCGGGCCCCGCTGGCACAGGGGCCTCCTTTTGGTCCCCTTCTAACAGGTGGCAGGCAGCCAGGCGGTGGGCCAGGGGGCCGTTGGGCGGTAGCGGCAACACGGGGGCGACCGGACAGCGGTGGGCCACACGGTGCGGGCTCTGGGCCGGCAACAGCTCCCCAGGGACGCCGAGTAGAGGCCCTGGGGTGGGCGCGGGTGGGAGAGGCCAGGAGGCTGCATACAGCGTGCGGAACTCGCGGCTGAAGGCGTCAGCGATTTCTCCGGTCAGCAGGGTCAGCAGGCCTCGGTGCAGGCGGGCATCACTCCACGTGAAGCTGGGGACACAGGGTGGGGGTCGGATCTCCGCAGCCTGCCTACCTGCCCAGTGCTGGCTACCTGACCTTGAGCAAGCTGACCTCTCAGGACTCAGCTTCCAGCACTGCAGAATGGGACAACAGAAGTCTCCACCCTGGGCTGGACATCAGCATGGCCTGAGATAGTTCTACCACCACTGGAGCCAGGCTGGAGGGGGTTTTGTGGTTTATTCTGAGACAGCCTCTGGCTAGGTAGCCCAGGCTGGCCTGGAACTCACAGCAATCCTCCTGCCTCAGCCTTGCAAGTGCTGGGAGTATAGGTGCGTACCACTACACTCAGCTTGAAATTTTTTTTTTTTCCCTTGGTACCAGCAATCGAACTCATGACCTCATGCTTGCTAGGCAGGCACTGTGCCGCTGAGCTATATCCCCAGCTCTCAGCTTGTAATTTTTTTTTTTTGGTTTTTTTCCGGTACCGGGAACCCAACTCAAGACCTTGCTCTTGCCAGGTAGGCACTTTGCCACTGAGCTAAATCCCCAGCCCTCAGCTTCTAATTTTAATGTACTTGGTGAAAATGTCTTGCTAAATTGCCCAAGCTGGGCTCCAATTTGCCTCCCAGAGTGCTGGGATCACAGGCGTGGGTCACCATGCCCGGCTCCCACAGGGCTGTTTTAAGACCATGCTCCTCCCTAGAAAGACTCCATTTATCAAGCATTTGTCATACACCTGGCTCTGAGTGCTTCCGCTCGCTCGGTGCCTCCGTTGGCCCATCTGTAACGCGGAGCCAAAGCGCAGCCAGGTGCAGAGGTGAGCACAGGGGTCAGGCTCCCTGCCAGCAGCCAGCGTCCTCGCTCTTCCTGGCCCCAAGGTGACCAGCACCAAAGCCTCTGGTGCAGAGCTTGGCTTGAAACACTCTCCACACGTGTGTAGCCCCAGCACTCTGGAGGCCGAGACAGGAAGTTTGCTGCAAGTTTAAGGCCAGCCTAGCTACAAAGTGAGTTCAAGGCCAGCCCGAACTGCATAGTGAAACCCTGTCTCAAAAAAAATGAAGGAAAAGACAAAAAAAAGGAAAAGAAAAGAAAGGAAAAGAGAGGAGAGGAGAGGAGAGGAGGGGAGGGGAGGGGAGGGGAGGGGAGAGGAGAGGAGAGGAAAGAAAAGAAAAAAGAAAGGACAAGACCACCTCACTAAATGCCCTTCTCACTCCTAGCCTCTCCCTGGGGCTTTAAGCCCAAGTAGGGGACCTCAGGTGTGTCATATTCTTGTCCCAGGCCTCAGATGAGCCATGTGGAAAATGGGGTTGCCATGGGACCCGGGAGCTGAAGTCACAGCAAGGCACTTGATAGCAGACGGGCGGCAGCTGGTGTCCTGCGCCCTTCTCGGCAGGGCGACGTCCCCACTGGGTTGCAGGTGGGAGGGCTGAGCGGCTGCTCGGAGGGTGACACTGCCCCCACCTGTGACCTCACCCCCAGGGCGGCTGTGGAACCTGAGGGGTCTGTGAGGTAGCACATTCCGCTCACAGACCCGTGGCACCCCATGCGAGGGACACAGAGCATCGGAGGCCAAGGACAATCCAGGTGCTGACAGAGAGGCCCGGACGCCACTTGCCCAGCAGTTCCACAAGCTCCGCGACGCCCCGGCCTGGCTCGGGCACCACCCCTGCCGCCAGGCTACCATGGTCCTCGGCTGGCTGCGCCTGCTACTGCTGGCGACCACGCTGCCGCGGGGCACAGCAGGCATCAAGGACTGCTTCTTCTGCGAGCTGACTGACTCCACGCGCTGCCCCAGCACCCGCATGCACTGCGGGGACGAGGAGGACTGCTTCACGGGCCTCGGGGTGGCCCAGGGCGTGGGGCCCGTCATCAACAAAGGCTGCGTGCGCGCCACCAGCTGCGGCCGCGAGGAGCCCGTGAACTACATGGGCCTCACCTACATCCTCACCACCTCCTGCTGCTCAGGCCACCTGTGCAACCGCGGCCCCAGCCCCACAGGCCGCCCAAGGGTGACAGCCGCCACCGGCCTGGCGCTGGGCTCGCTGCTGCTCCGGCACCTGCTGTGATCCCGGCCTGGGACTGGTCCCCCACACTAGCTACTTCCCCACCCGCCCCTCCCCCCATTAAATAGGCAGAGGCCCTGGACAGCCTCTCGTGGCCTCAGCTTCATCTGTTCTAGGCTGTGTACCTGGAGCTGGGAGCTTGGAGAGGTGCCATCTGTGGGTCTGACTGTGCTGTAGTTCTTTCTTCTCTCTTTTTTTTTATTTTGTTTTTTCCTGAGACAGGGTCTCGCTGTGCAGTTCAGGCTGGCCTTGAGCTCACTTTGTAGCCCAAGCTGGCCTTGAACTCGCAACGATCCTCCTGCCGCAGCCTCCCGAGTGCTGGGATCACAGGTGTGTGCCACCACGCCCCACTTGTTTTGTTTTTTGAACCACTTTGCGGTTCAGGTTGGCCTTGAACTCACTGTGGGGCCCAGGCTGGTTTTGAAATTCTGGAGATCCTCCTGCCTCAGCCTCCCAAGTACTGGAATTACAGGCGTGAGCCACCATTCCCAGCTGTACTACTATAGTTTGTTGATGCTGAGAGGAGTATCTTTTCACACTGGGATCAAGAGGCTTCTTTCTATTGATGGCACCTTAGAGCTGATGAAATATGGTATTAATGACAGCTGGGGCTCACTGAGTGCTGCTTATGTGATATGTTGGACACTGCACCCTCCAAGCTCCCATGAGGTTGGGAAGGTGCATACTCTCCACTCCAAGACACCCCAGTTCAGCTGGCCGAGGTTTTTTTGTTTGTTTTGTTTGCAGGTACTGGGGATTGAACCCAGGGCCTTTGCACTGAATTACAGCTCCAGCTCTTTCTACTTTTTCAGTCAGGGTCTTGTTAAATTGCTGAGTTGCTCAGGCTGGGCTCCAACTTGTGATCCTCCTGCCTCAGCCTCCCAGAGTGTTGGGATTACAGGCATGCAGCACCACACAGGAGAGTGAGTATGTCCCTGGCTGGCAGCCTGCACATCAACTGGGAGCTTGTCAGAAATGCACGACCTTGGGCCCCATCCCAGGCCGGGTGGAGACAGAGTGGCACGAAGGAGAGTCCTCTGCAGGACTCTGAGACACTCAGGCTGAGAGCCACTGCCTGAGAGCCATGGGTCTCACTCTTGGCACTTCCAAGAGCACCCAGCAGAGTTTTTGATTCTCCTAATGGTGGGTGGTAGAACTCAGCATCCTCAGTGCACACGGAGTCCCCAGTAGTCAGTCTGAATGCAAGTGGCTCCTTTATAGAAATCTTGTTCTAGAGGCTTGTATTTCCCTCTTCTGTACTGGGGGAAGCTGAGGCCCAGAGAGGTGAAATAAGTCACCCACTGTCACACAGTGAACTGCTAGAGTTTGAATCCAGGCCACCCAGCCCCAGAGCCCACGCTCCAGTTTTCCAGATTAGAAATCCTTGTGGTGCACATCTGTAATCCCAGCACTTGGGAGGCTGAGGCAGGAGGATCGTTGCAAGTTAGAGGCTAGCCTGGGCTGCAAAGAGAGTTCAAGACCAGCCTGAACTGCATAGCGAGACCCTGTCTCAAAAAGACCCAAAAAAAAAAAAAAAAAAGTATCCCGGACCAACCAGAGAAAGGGCGGGGTGCCGGCACTCAGCCCCACGCAGGGAGCAGGGCTGGGTTGCAGGTGTGGGGGCCGTACCTGTAGGACCCTGAGATGACCCTGTCGCCATCCAGCAGCACAAACTTCTCCTGCACGTCGCCGCTCACCTGCCGTCGCCTGCGACTCTGGAAAGTGCAGCCCCGCACAACACGGACGTCCAGGTTCTGGGTGGGCAGCGGGGAGGACGGGTTCTTGGGGCATCAGGAGGCTCAGGATCACCTCGACCCAGCAGCCCAGGGCGCCAGGGGAGTGCACACCCTGTCCCCGTAGTGGCATGGGCACAGGATGCCAGAGGACCCTCCCAGTGCAGACCCATCCCGCCGACCCAGGACCCTGCAGGAGGCTCTTCTCTGCTGCCCCTCAGAGCCAGGGGAGTAGGGGCGCCCGGGTCCCTCTGTCCTGCCCCTACCTCTGTGGCCCAGGGGTTCACCCGCAGCTTCCCGGCCAGCGCCAGGAAATCAGGCAGCCGCCGGCGATCCAGGAGCAGGTACACAGGGATCCAGCGGCGTGTGGCTGCGTCCACCAGGTCCGAAAGCAGGTCTGGGTCCGTGAAGACGTCCATGACCACAGCCACCAGCTGCAGGGAGAAGAGGGGAGGTGGACATGTGGGTGGAGCCCAGGGCTCAGGGACACTCAGTGGGCGGGGCCTGGCCCAGGTGCCCTGCGCGGTGGAGCTCTGGACTCTGGAGGCTCTAAGGGCCTGTCCTCCGTGAGAGTTCAGGGGAGCTGAAGGGGGACCCCAGGACGCTGAATGAGAAATGGTAGCCTTTCTAAGATCCCCAGCCTTGAAATGCTGGAATACTGCCATAAGAAATCATATCCACATGTCTGTAATCCCAGCTCTAGGGAGGCTGAGGCAGGAAGATTGCTGCAAGTTGAAGGCCAGCCTGAGCTGCACAAGGAGACCCCGTCTAAAAACAAAAACAAAAAAAAACCCAACAGCAACAAAAAGTCATGTTAACAATGATGAATTGTCCCCAGGCTGAAACACGTGTCCAGAGTAGCTCTGTTCCTGGTCAGTGGCTGGACACCTTCAGAGGACACTGGGTGACTGCCTGGGTGTGAGGGACAGTAGGGCTGACCCGCTGGGCCACTAAGGCACACTTAAGGGACCCCTCTGTGCTGAGGGCCAGGACCAAACACCAACTTACCAGCCAGACAGTCCAGGTTCAAATTCCCTAGGCCACTTACATCCCTGTGCCTCAGTTTGCCCCTCTCCTCAATGGGCACAAGAGTCCCACCTCACAGGGTTCTTGGAAGACCATGGGGAGGACTTAGCACACTACTACTGAAAGCACAGATTCTCTGAGGCTGCAGGAGGTGCCTGTACCCTCCCTGGGGGAGCCCAAAGTCCCTGGTGACAGGCACATGAGGGGATGCCTGAGACTCAGGGAGGGTCATAACTCGGTTCCAGGGGTGTGGATGCTGCGGGGGATGGGTCCTGGGGAGCAGAGCTGTGGACGTGCAATGCAAGTCCCAGAGGCCAAGGGAGACACGGCTGGAGCCAGGCAGGCGAGCACAAGTCCAAGGGAAGGACAAGGGCACCACGACACCCACCTTGTGAGCAGCCTGGATTTCTCGGCGCACCAGCTCCTTGAGGGGCGGGTGGCCCTCGCTGGGGGGCTGGGTGTACAGCTGTGCCCGGGTGATGCCCTTCCACGCGCTGTCCTCCGGCCAGCCCAGCCGCAGCAGGGGCGCCGGCTCCTCTGACTGCCCGGGCCAGTATGTCAGGCTGCCCACAGCCCCGGTGGCGGTGGTGGCGGCTCCCGCAGCCCCGCCAGGCTCCTGCCCGGCCTCTGTCCAGTCCTCAGCGGCCGCTGCCAAAGCTTGCACCTCCTCCGCACTCAGAAAAGGCCGCAGCCCTTCCTGCTGCACGCAGGCCTGGAAGGCGTCGGCGCCCTCGCTCAGCAACGCCTCGATCGCCAGCCGCTGGCCCTCGGAGTACAGGAAGGCAGGGCTGGCCTCGGTCAGCGGCAGCGGCCCGGGCCCCACCTCTGCCTCGTCCAGCGCCGCCAGCTGGGAGGCTGCCATCAGGCCGCGCTGCGACGGGCCAGGTCACCCAGGCTCTGGCTGTCCCTGGAGGATGGACCATGGGGGACCTCCAGGGTGGCCCTGCCGACGTCCCCACAGCTCCCTGTGGCTGTCCCTGGCCCACAGCCCCAACAATTAGGTCACCAAATAACTGCCCACTCTGCCAGGCTCCCAGAGCAGCACTACAGCAAAGCCCACTGCCTAAGGGCCAGGCTGCGCACCTGACACCGTCCCCAGCTGCATGACCCCTCAGCTAGTCACTTCTGTCCTGCCACAGGACAGCCTCCAGCCTGCTGGCCACAAAATGCTGCAACCCAGCCTTCAGCTGGTTCCAACGGCAGGCTGGGCCTGTCACCCTGCTGTCCCTGATGGAACAGGGGCCGCCAGATCCTCAGCCACCTCTTCCCCAGCCTTGCTCCCTGAAAATCTCAGCACGCCCACCTGGGGGTCCCCAGCTGCCCAGGCTCACTCACCAGCCCTCCCTGCCACCCGTGACCCTGACCACCCACCTAGGCCAAGGCCGGCATCCTCAGGGCGCCCCGCACCCTGGTGTGCCAAGCCCACCAGGCGTCCGCTTTAATCCCACCGGCCCACACCTTCTTCCTGGTCAGGGCCACTCTAATCCTACCCTGTCCGCTCCCAAGCCCCAGCTCTCTGCCACCCAAGCACCTGGTCTCCCAACCACAGCAATGGCCCACCGAGAAGGCAGAGGAACGGAGCCAGGCCTCCCTCCTGTACCCGCACCACAGACCTCTACCCTCCTCTTCCCATCTCTTGCCTTCTCAGAGGTCGGAGAACAGGACCGGAGACCTCTTCCTCTACCTCTGCCACTCTTCCGGGCCCTGCCTGGGGCCAGGGAACCCAGCCCCTAGTGCAAACACAGGGAGGGCCCTACGGGCACCACTGCCGGGCACCTGCTCAGGGACTGGCCACCTGCCCGGCTTCCTCACCTGTTCCCACGTCCGCCCACCGCAGCCCCGCCCCCAGGTGCCCTGGTGGAGGATGACAGCATGAGGAAGCAGGTGTGGAAAATACGATCACCAGGAAGGAGGTGGAGCTCAGGCTCAGGGGACCCAACAGGTGCAGTGAAATAATACTGTGCGTGTGCAAAATCAAGAGCTCACGCCCAAGGATAAATCCCCAAACCAGGTGCGTCCCCCTGTGCGTCCCCACCTCCCTTCTCTATCATCCCAACCTGTCCCCCAGTGACACAGAGGGGGCCATCAGAATCCACAATCTTTTTATTAACAGTACGATCCAGCATTAGTTCTTGTAGCCTCGGCTGGCCCGCCTGCCTCTCGCGCGCTCGAACTTCCGGCCCTTGGAGCGGACATAGGGTCTGTGGGAAGAGAAGGAGGGTCAGGAGCCCACCTCACGGTGAACAGCGGGCCCAGCCCCCTTCCCACTGTGCGGGCGCGCCGCTGGAAAAGCCTGGCAATGCAGGAAGCCAGGATGCCAGGGGGTGGCTGGTGAGGAGCCCCGGTGGGGCCTGGGGTCCCAACCCGAGCTGCAGAGCCCGGCCGTGCTCACCCCCGACCCAGAGTGCCCTACTCACGGCGGGCAGCAGCAGGCCCTGTACTCACTTGGTGTGGCTGTGCGGCGTTCCCGGCGCCTTGCCGAAATGCCGGTAAACCTCTCGGCCCTTGCGCGGACCTGGGGATGGAGCAGGGGATAAAGCAGGGCCCTGCACCTGCTGCAGGAAGCCTCTCCCTTCAACCCTCACTGGGCTGAGGCTAATTTGCTGCAAGGTGAGGGTGCACCCTGACCTCTAGTTCACACGATCCCGCCACAGAAGTCACCAAGTCAAGCGCCACTTACCAGAGAGCAGAACTGTGCCTCGGCCTTTAGGGGAGTCCAGGGCCAGCTGGTCAAAGGTGAGGATCTTACCCCCAGCCTTGAGGATGCGGCTGCGGGCCCGGCTGGTCACGCGCAGGGCACAAACCTGGACACAGGACAGGTGGGGTCACCACTCACCGCCCTGGCTACCTGCAGGGCCTGAGAACCAATACCAACCAATCCCAGGAGCTCTCAGGCACACAGCAGCTACCTTCCAATGACCCCTGTGTCATGGTGTGCAAAAGCTGCAAGACTTGTTTTTTTTTGAGTCTTGCTATGTAGTTCAGGCTGGCCTTCAATTCATGGCGACCCTCCTGCCTCAGCCTCCCAAGTGCTTGAATCATGGGCATGCCCCACAATGCTCAGCTAAGACTTTGACTAAATGGCAAAGAAAACCATGTTTGAGCCCAGGCTGTCTGGCTCAAGAGCCAACATTTTCAACATGATCCAGGAGGAGCCCCCTGAGGAATCCCCCGTATCAAAGGCCCCATGCAACCCTAAAGGCCACCTGGACAAGTGAGATGCCTGCTGCAACCCAAAGAGGTGGCCGAGACTTACGTGTCACCACAGCAGGCCAGGCCCAAAGCAGGTCTGACACTGACTTAAGCCCTACCCCACTCACCTTCAGCTTGGGCACCTCCAGAACCCGCACGTCATCGGTGACGGTCCCCACGACCACTGCTGTCTTATTTTCCCGGCCAGGAAGCTTCATCTTCCGGATCTTGAACAGATGCACATCACCTGACCTGTCGTTCTGGTGTTTAAATCCACCCACCCCCTACCCCTGGATTCTGCAGGCATGCAGAGGCCTGGGACAGTGCTAAGCCTGCCTCACCTCCTGCACTACAAGCCTCTCCGAGATCTACTTCAGGAAATTTGATGAGAATATTCAACACATCCCTCCTGGAAAGTTTTGGTTTTGTTTTTAGTACTGAGGATCAATCCCAGGACTTCTGCACCAAATGACCTACATCCCCAACCCTTTTTGAGACAGGGTTTCGCTAAGTCCTTAAATTGCCCGAGTTGAGGTCTCACATGAGATCCTCCTGCCTCAGTCTCCCAGAGTGCTAGGACTACAGGCACATCACACCTGGCCTTGGACTTGAAGCTATCATAACTACCTCCACCTTACAATGAGCCAGAAAGGAGGCCAAGAAGCCAAGCCAGTTGTCCACAGATACTGACTCCAAGTAAGGCTCGAAGCCCTGCACCTACTGCTGCTCGCAGGGCACAGCTCGAGTCCCCAGACCAGCCACTCACCATCCGGGAAAGGGAGAGGGGCGGCCGGTTGGTGCGACTCATGAACAATCTCTTCAGCACAACCTGGTTGAAGGTAGAGTTTGTTCGTCGGGCCAGAAACCTGTAGAGCTGAGGGGGAAAAAGGAGGCCTGAGGACACAGGTCAGGGGCAGATGGGCGATTTCGGCTGGGAGGTTCTGAGGGCTCTTCCCATTCTGTGGAGCCGGGGGACCAGCAGATCTCGGTCCTTCCCGACTGGAGATCAGGAAAATTTCCTCCCCACTCCGAATGTGCTACAGCCCAGCAGCCGAAAGCACTAAAGCGCGGGGATCCTTGCACCAACAGCAGAAGACTTGGGGGGCCCTGCCCAAGCTCCCAGGCCCCAGCCTCACCTTGACCAACAGCCTCAGATAGATGTCCTGGCTCTTGGGCTCCTTGCGCCGGACCTTGCGGTCCTTGTTGTGGCGGATGTCCACTCCCTGCAGGGATGAAGGGGAAACGATGGTTCCAACTCTGAACCTGGGCAACTGTGCCACGGACGCTCCCCGTGATCCCTTGTCTCCCACACCACGGAGCCCGCTTCAACGGGAGCTAGAGCAGCCCGCAAACCCATCAGCACCTGTCACATCTTAGCACGGCACCTGTTCGGACCTGCAAGTGTTAAATTCCCAAGTTGCACCTTCCCAAGAACATGGGTCTCACATTACGTGCCCGAGACCTCCTGTCATACCAAAACCATAACCACAAGTACAGCAGCTCAGTAACAACGACCCACAACTTCCACTCAGGATAAGACATGAAGAAGAGCCTCTGACACTGCCAGGCACACAGTCTGGCTGGCTGTCCCACTTGAGAACTAAGAACACGCAGGAAAGCTCGTCACTTCTACACCTCCTTCCTACGCTTCTGAGTCGCTGAGCTTTTCACACCATCAACTCTAAGTAACTATGGATTAGCAGCTCTCATCTATTCAACACTTAAGTCCTTCTGATGAGAGCCACCTACGAGTGATGTCTTCCCACCTCACCACTCGGGGATGGGACCACCTAAGGGCTGCAACTGGAACGGAAGCCCGCTGGGGCCCAACATCCGGGTACCTAACTCTCGACTCCCCTCCCAATCCCACTTTCCAGACTAAGGAGTGACACACGCAGACAAACCAGCGAAGTGGCTGAAAGTGGGCACACCCCCAGCCACGCAGCGCAGGACCCCAGCTCCGCCATTTCTTGGCTTGCGGCCCCGATCCCATCACTTTCCCTCCCTATACCTCAACTGGGTCGTCCGCTCAGGGGAGACAACAGCAATACAAGACTGTGACCCACGTCCGGCCTCTAGGTCCCCAGAGTAGCACCCCCGCCTTGGAAATCGCTTCCTTCAGACACTGGCGAAACCCCTGCACCCCTCTGGCACGGCCCCATCCCGAGCCCGCCAAGGATGGCGTTGGATGATCAAGCCTTGAACACCCCAAGGCACGCTCACCATGATGGCGACTCCTCTTCAGCCAAACCCGGAAAGAGAGAGCGGCAGTGGGATGGGCGGGGAAAGCCTCCAGCGCGCGACGCCCTAATGACGTCTTACGAGTCCGACGCGACGCTCTACCACGAGCCGGCCTTCTCTATGGCGAGTTGAGTGACTGACTAAATGGGCGACAACAAAATAGGGTTGAGGAATAATCAAAGAGAAACAAGCACCACGCGCAGGAAGGAAGGGCTAGCACGTCGGGGGCCTTTCTAGCTCTACCCAGGCGCTGTTCTCTATATGCTTCCGGCAAAAAAGGAAACTGGGAGCAAGAGAGGCGCGTGGGGCTAGAAAGAGGTAGTGTGCTGCGGCGCTCTGGCCTGACACCGAGGGCCTCTCAGTGGCTTCGGAGGACCTGGTGGGCCGGGTAGTGCTGGTGAGGAGGCGGAGCTGGCGGGTCTAGTCCTCTCCAAGCCGCTCGCGTTTGTTTAGATTCACGGTTGCCTTCTTTCGCGCTGAACTCCTGGGCTAGGCGCAACCAAAGCTCGGAAGTTGTGCTAGATATCCAACCCGAGATCTCCTTGCTGAAACTTAATCTAGAGCACCCTACATATCTAATTTTTTGGTTCAGCTTCCGCGCTCCCCTAGGTGGCCCTTCCCTGACCACCTGCTCAGCCTCTCCCGCCAAGGAGGGGCTGCTTTTTTCTCCACCAGAAAGGTTCAGCTGGCCCAGCGGTTTCGATGTGAGGGAGGCACAAGGTACTGGGGTCCCAGGGATCGCGTCCTGAGGGCCTGGCTTGAGGGGTGGGATGGAGGGAAGGAAGGTGGGTGATAAACTCCTTAAAGAGAGAGACCCAGAGCTAGAAATTCAGAGGGGAGGAAGTGTGGAGACCCCGTGGGAGCGGGGATGGAGACTTGAGGGTGGGAGCAAGGGGGAGGGGACGGGGGCCCAGAGGGAGGTGGAGACCGATGAGATGGGATCTGCCCAGACTGTACCCGAGTTCAGATCCTGGTTCTGCTGCTATTAGTGGTGTGACCTTGGGCAAGTCACTCTCTGTGCTGTACTTTTCCATATTTAGAAAAAGGAAAGGATAATAGATCTGACACATGGGATGTTTTCCAGGATTATATAGGTTAATAAAATTGCTTTTGGTCAATGCGTTTTGCGCTTAAGTGATCCACAGCAATTTGCCTTGTTAGCAGCACCTTTTTGACAGAACCAGACTGACTGGTTGATGCAGTAACCAAACTCTCTCATTCCTCTGTTCTCCACAGAGCCTAAGCCAGGCTTGCACAGTGAGTCCTGACTCCTTGTACATCCCAGACCACCGTCCTATGGCCTCAGACCCAGGGCCAAGGTCTGTTGATGTACCAGGACAGAGGGCCACGGATGAACCGACACCTTGAATCAGAGGAGCAGAACCAGGTAAAGGTCCATCTGAAAGCCAAGATTGCTATTCCCTGGGACCACATCGGTCGATATCCTTCCGTCCCTGGTCTTGGACCTCCTCTTCAGCCTTGAGTGAATAGCTTTCCTTCCACTTCCAGACAGGGCAGGTGTGGCCAAGAATGCAGGGGCTCCCAAGAGTCACAGCAAATTCTTGTGAGCTAGAGGTCCCCTTCTCCTTTTCTTCCTCCATCTGCTTCCCTTCCATGTTCCCTTTTCTCTAACTTGATGACTCAGAGAAAGCTCAGCTTTTTTGGTCAGGGCTTTTTTGGTTCCAGGGCTCTGAGCTCAGTTGCTCTGTTCCCTTGCCTCAGTCCTCCTGGGATTCTCTCTGTCACTTACTCTGTCTTCATGAGCTGCTTCTGTGGGATGGATGCAAGATATATTTGTTTGGCAATAAGTGAATTGTCTCCTCCTCATTTTTTTTTTTTTTTTTTGAGTGCCTGTGTGGTACTAGGGATGGAACTCAGGTGCGCTGTACCACTGACTACATCCCCAGCTGTGTTTTGTTTTGTTTTGTTTTTGAGATGGCTTCATTAAGCTGTCCAGGCTGGCCTTGAACTTGTGATCCTCCTGCCTTAGGCTCCTAAGTGCAGTAGCTGAGATCACAGGTGCGTGCCACCACCCCTGGCTCCACTTGTCCCGCTTGGCCCTGTCTCATTCTGCATATGTCTCTCTGCAGTTCTGCCTGTGGCTAGATCTTTGCCCGGCCTTTAATGCTGTGTCTCTTGTATCAAGGTCTTCCCATTTCTTCTCTCACTTCCAAGTCCTTTCGGTTTCTGGACTTCAAACATTCTTTCCGTTCCTCACCCCTGACCCAGAGGGTTCTCCCTTTGTGTCTGTTCTGCTATGTGATTAGTCATTTCCTGGTCAGATGTTTATCTCGTGCTGCCTCCACTCTGGTTGGAATCCAGAGTAAATAGTGAATTAATGAACTTGTCTGGAGTGTTCATTGCAGAAGTGCCTATCTCGGTCTGTCTCTGTCATTTTCTGGAATTTCTTGAGCCCTTACTGTCCACTTTCTCAACCCCACTGCTTTTGTCTGTTTAGATCTCTGCTTTTCTCTGTGCCTGGGTCTTGTAACTGTCTGAAAGACACCCCACCCCCACCCTCCACCCCCGTTGCCCTGCCCTAACTCACTTATTACCTATCTTTGACTCTGCTTCTCTGGGTCTCTACCTCCTCTTTGTCAAGGGTTTTTGTTTGTTTGTTTGTTTGTTTTGACCGGGAATCAAACTCAGGACTTTGTGATTGCCAGGTAGGTGCCGTGCCGTTGAGCTATATCCCCGGCCGTGTCTAGGTTTATTACTAACTCTGGTTGCTTATTTCTGGGCCTCTGGTCGCTGCGTTAGGGTTCTCTCTCTGCATCTAAAGACCTCTTATTCCACGCCCCTTTCACGTTTATAAACTCAACGGATGGGCAGGGCCCTCTTGCCCTCAACAAAGAAGGAGGCACCAATGTAATCTGCAAGGGTGTGATGCTCCTTCGGCTGTGTCTGTGCCCTCACTTACGATGGCGGCTGGCCTCCTGAAGCGCAGTGCACCGCCCAGTTTTTGTGCTCCCCTGTAGTAGTGGGACCGAGCGCTGAACTCGCGAGTCGTCTGGCTCCGCCTCCTCACGCTCTCATTGGTGCGGTACAGGACCGCCACACAGTCATTGGCTGAGCAGATGCACACCCTCCCCCCCACCCCTAGGTCTGATTGGGGGCGGGCGTGCAGACTTGATGGGGCCGCATGGAGGAGGACCCGGCGAGTGAGGAGGGTGCGAGGATCGGGGCAGGGACCCGAGGGAGTGTGTGTGTTTTGGAATTGGGGTGCTGGGTGGGAGATGGAAATGGAAAAGCAGGACCACGACTGAGGCATCCAGGAATGGAAGCCCAGGCCCAGAAATGGAGTAGAGATGGAGGCCCAGAGACAGAGACTTGAGCTGTGGTTTGGCAGTTTGTGGATGCAGGGCCAGGCCCAAGGCTTAGGCACCCAGGGACAGAGCGCCAGGCCCAGGAATGGAGGCTGTCTAGGGCTCTGTGCCTGAGCCTGATTTGAGGTTCTCCCGGGGAGGGGGGGCTGTGCTGGTGTGGAGGTGGGGCAGACACCCCGGGCCTCGGGGGAGCTGCGGAGCCCGGGGTGGGAGAGTTGGGCAGCGGAGGCCCGGGGCGAGGCCACAGATGGGGGCGTGTCTGTGTCTGCTGTAGGCCGGGGAAGGTGAGAGGCAGGAAGCTGGGCGGGCCAGGGGAGGACAAAGGTGAGCCGGAGGAGGAGGAGGGGGGCAGCAGCTGGGCAGAAGCCGGGGAAGGGACCTCAGTCCTGGCTCCAGCTTTTTCCTAGAGAGCAGGCAGCAGACACCCAGGTCAGTGCTCGGAGACAAGTCCTCAGCCCCTGCCCCTTTTGAGCACTTGCATGTGGCGTCTGCCGCCTTGATTTCCGCGTCACATCCCCGCCTCCTGCCTCTCCTCTGCCCTAAGCGTCTGTTACCTTTCTTTTTGGACTGAGAGACTCTTACTGTCTTTCATCAATCCAGTTTCATCTCATTGAAGCTCTTCGTTTCCACCCAGCGTTTCTCTGTCCTCTTTCTGTGCCTGCCTCAGCGATACTGTTCTCTCCACCTGTGGATGACTCAGTGTGCATGTGGGGGTTGCTGTCCCCGGCTCAGCCTATTTCTGGTTTTGTCTGCACCCTCAGATGTGCTCCTGTGCTTTATATTTCCCCAAAGCCTTATCATCTCCCAACACATTTGTTATTTTACTGTCTCATCCTGTCTTCCGGACCTCCGATTAGAAGGCAAACCCAGTGCAGGCAAGGATTTTTGTCAGCTTTCTGCTGCTTGCTGTCTGCTCCCTGGCTGGCACACAGAGGGTCCCGAATAGCTGTGTGGAGAAGAAGTGAATGACCGTTTGCATGTCCAGGCCTTTCAGGGCGCTGGCCTTCCTGTGCAACCGCCTGTGTCTCTGGCTGTCCCTTCCCACCTGCCAGTGCCTCGTCCTGTCCACAGTCCCTGCCTCGCCTCCCATCTATCTCCCAGTCTCCCATAGGGATCCTGGACTCTGACCCTTCCCTCCTCCCTCTCCACAGAGACTGGAGCAGCAGGTCACCAGGAGTTGGGGCCGCAGGCCTAGGAGAGCCCTGCACAGGGCTGAGGCCATGGCGCCCCCACCAGCACCACTGGCTGCCAGCACCCCGCTCCTGCATGGCGAGTTTGGCTCCTACCCAGCCCGAGGCTCACGATTTGCCCTCACCCTCACGTCACAGGCCCTGCACATACAGCGGCTGCTCCCGAAGCCCGAAGCCCGGCCCCGGGACGGCCTTGTGCCCCTGTCTGTGATCTCAGGCTGCTGCACCCTGAGAAGCCACAGTCCCTCAGACTCGGCGGCCTACTTGTGCATCTATACCTACCTTCGGGGCCGCCGCGGGGGCCGCCGCCGCGCTGCCCGCACCTTTCAGGCCGATGGGGCTGCGACCTATGAGGAGAACCGCGCCGAGGCCCAGCGCTGGGTCGCTGCCCTCATGAGTCTGCTCCGAGGATTGCCGCTGCCTGGGGAAGACGGTGAGGCCCCGGGCAGCCGCTCGGTCCTGGAGACAGGTCTCTCTCTGGGGCGTGTGTTTTGAGAGAGCAGGACACAGACAGGGCTGGGCTACGAAAGCAACAAACGCAGGCAGAGAGAAAGGGATTGTCAGCTGCTCCACGGCTAGATGCTGTGTCTCTCCCCACCCCCGCCCCGGTCTTGACCACAGACAGATGAGTCAGAGGCTCCCTGGCACTGACAGCAGCAGACTGAGGCAGGAACTGCCACCACCCCCATGGCAGGTGCCAACACGGATATCTGGGGTGCCCAGGGAGTCCAGAGATGGCATCTAATACGATATGTGGAGGGTCAGAGAAGGCTTTTGGGCTGAGCCTCTGCGGCCCCCAGGGTCTTCCAGGGCTCCCCATCTGATGAACTGTCCTTAGGCTGTGAGGTTCCTGCCAGCTGCTTGGAGCTCCTAAGGGGTGGTGATAATGAAGGAACTTGGTCCTGGCTAACAGGTGTTCAGGTCGCTGCGCCTTTGTCTTTCTCAAGAATACGGGTCCAAAGGGCACTTGGCCTCACACCCAGCCCTGTCTTTGTCCCGACACTCCCAGCAGGCTCCGGGTGCTGGCCCTCCCCAGTCCCGTGGGGGCTGTTCGAAGGGACTGTTTCCAGGCCGAGGGGCCTGGGTCTCCGGCCTCCGTAGACCCTGCCCTCTCTCTGCAGAGATCACCCCTGAGCTCCTTCCACGGCCGCCCCGGTTGCTACTCTTGGTCAATCCTTTTGGAGGACGGGGCCAGGCCTGGCAGTGGTGTGAGAACCACGTGCTGCCCATGATTTCCGAAGCTGGGCTGTCCTTCAACCTCATTCAGACAGGTACGGGCAGGGGCCCCGGAAGCGGGGCATGGCCAGGACTCCTGGGTCCAGGGAGAGGGATTGGCCGGGAAGGAGACGGCTGCCTGACCTGCTGCTTTGCCCCTTTAGAACGACAAAACCACGCCCGGGAGCTGGTCCAGGGGCTGAGCCTGAGCGAGTGGGATGGCATCGTCACCCTCTCAGGAGACGGGCTGTTCTATGAGGTAGAACAGGAGATCCTGCCCTTGACCCTGAGCCCTGGGGGGCCAGAAGGGTGGGAGCTGGGCTCTGAGCAGGTGGTCTCCTGCCCTGCAGGTGCTGAATGGGCTCTTAGATCGCCCAGACTGGGAGCAGGCAGTGAAGATGCCCCTGGGGATCCTCCCCTGTGGCTCAGGCAACGCACTGGCTGGAGCTGTGAACAGGCATGGGGGGTAGGTTGGGCACTCCTGCTGCAGAGGATGAGGGCACGTGGGGGGATGAGTCCTCCTGGGGCAACGGGGACCCCGTGTCTCCCCTTCTGCCAGACCCACTGTTGGTCCAAGAAATCAGCCTGGCTGCAGGATGCCACACTACCAGCCTGGCACTGTGGCCTGTCTGTCTCAGCTCTGTCCAAGCGACTAGAACTGCCTGGCACGCAGATCTGCCCGCAGTGGCAATTATTCAGAGTCAAGTGGGCCACTTGGCTGCACCAGGCTCTGGGGCAGGGCATTGCTGGTCTCCATGCAGTCTGCTTCCCCATCTTTGTTTCTCTGCCCTGTGCTCCAAGTCTCTCACCCAGCCCCATTTGTTCTTTCCCACCCCGGCCGTCCATCCCGGGCCGTGAAGGTTTGCACCAGCCCTGGGCCTGGACCTGCTGCTCAACTGCTCCCTGCTGCTCTGCCGGGGTGGCAGCCACCCCCTGGACCTGCTTTCTGTGACCCTGGCCTCAGGCTCCCGCTGTTTCTCCTTCCTGTCTGTGGCCTGGGGCTTCGTGTCAGATGTGGACATCCAGAGCGAGCGCTTCCGAGCCCTGGGCAGAGCGCGATTCACCCTGGGTACAGTGCTGGGCCTCGCCACGTTGCGCACCTACCGTGGACGCCTCTCCTACCTCCCCACCGCTGTGGAGTCAGCCTCACCAGGCCCTGCGCATGGCCTGCCCCGGGCCAAGTCAGAGCTCACCCTGGCGCCAGCCCCAGCCGCACCTGCAGCGCACTCGCCCTTGCACCGCTCAGTGTCTGACCTGCCCCTGCCCCTGCCCGTGCCCGTGCCCCAGCCCACCCTGGCCTCCCCTGGCTCGCCTGAGCCCCTGCCTGTGCTGTCCGTCAATGGTGGGGTCCCAGAGCTGGCTGGGGACTGGGGTGGCTCTGGGGAAGCTCCATTGTCCCCAGACCCACTCCCGCCCTTACCCTCAGGCTCCCCCAAGGCAGCTCCACTCCCTCCCATCACAGAAGGGCACCAGGAAATGCCAGCAACTTCTGGACTCCCACCCAGTACCCCTGCTGCGCCAGCAGCCTCTCCTGGGGGCCCACAGGACCACCTGCTGCCTCCGTTGGGCAGCCCACTGCCCCCAGGCTGGGTGACACTGGAGGAGGATTTCGTGCTGGTGTTGGCCCTCTCTCCCAGCCACCTGGGTGCCGACCTGCCCGCGATTCCCCACGCGCGTTTTGACGACGGAGTGGTGCACCTGCTGTGGGTGCGGGGCGGGGTCTCGCGGGCCATGCTGCTGCGTCTATTCCTGGCCATGGAGCGCGGGAGCCATTTCAATCTGGGCTGCCCGCAGGTTGGCTACGCCCCGGCCCGTGCCTTCCGCCTGGAGCCGCTCACGCCCCGCGGCTTGCTCACGGTGGATGGGGAACTGGTGGAGTACGGGCCGGTGCAGGCCCAGATACACCCGGGCCTCGGTACGCTGCTCGCGGGGCCTCCAGGCTGCGCCGGGCAGGGACCCTGAACCTGCTGGGAATGCGCCAAGGACAGGACCTGGGCTACAGTGCGGCCTGGCTGCCAGAGTTGGGGCGGCGCCCCCCAAATGCAAGGGTCCAGGGCCCGCCACTAGAGAACCGGAAGTGATGCCGGGGGTGGCCCGAGCTCCAGGCTCGTCCCCTGGCTAGTGCCTGACCGGCGAGGGCCAAGCTTGGGCTGCTGTCCCCGGTGGGATCCTAAGTCGGTCCTCGCTTGCCTCCCGCTCACAGTAGGTGGGGGGGGCTGGGGGCGGAGCCTGCCTCGAATCGCCCAATGACCGGACCTGGAATGTATGAGCTGGGAGAGGCCTTAGCTAATTGGCCAGGTAGGGCTGGGTCTCGCCCTATCCACTCCGGTGCCTCCACCTAACTGGCCAATCAGCCTAAGAGGGGCGGGTCCCCGGGGCTGTCGCTCGGATTTGCACTAATAACCCGCCCCCACGATGTGGGGGCGGGGAAATTCATTTCTGTGTCCTGTGCGTCCTCTGTCCCCAATCTAAAAAGCAATTGAAAAGGTCTATGCAATAAAGGCAGTCGCTTCATTCCTAGACCTTGACCCCTTCCATCCACAGCCCGCAATCAGACCTTCCAGCAGCTCCTGGTTTCTGCGGATAGCTGCCAGGTCTGCCCGCCGGCTGCAGCCATTGTCACCTGCTGGTCTCGCACCAGGGCCAATAGCTGCCTTGTCCCCCACAACAGCTGGCTCGGGTTCGCAAGATTTATTTAGGATCGTGTTAATGGAGGCGGTGGGGGAATGGGGTCCCCGACGTGTCCGGAGCACACACGGGACCCTCCCCGCCCCCGCAAGGGAGCGGGGAGGCTCGCTTTTTCTTAAAAATATAAATGTATTTATCTGCATCATCACGTCCCTGGGGTACCCAGCGGGCCAGCCTGCGCGGGGAGGGAAGAGGCGACAGGGCGCAAGTCTGAAGGGGGAGAGGAAGAGGGCTCTCACAGGGCCCCGTGCTGGGCCTGGTAGCGAGACAGCACGGCCCGGTAGTGCGACAGCTCTTGCCGCACCGCTACCACCTCCTGCCGCAGCAGGGCGTTCTCCTTCTCCAGGAAGGCTGCCCGCACCGTTATCTGGTTCTCTTTGAGCCGCCGGGCATCGCGAGACCGCTTTGCTGCCTCGTTGTTCTTGTACCGTCGGCTCCAATACTTCTCGTCCTGGGGTGGAGGGGCGGGAGGGCACTGAGGTTCAGCGAGAGAAGGGAGGAACAGCTTCTACCCACCCCCCCACACCCTTCCTTAGCCGGAGGGATCAGGGATGTCTGATCTCTGCTGGATGGGATGGGTACCCAAGGGCCTGTCCTTCTGGGGCTCCTAACAAAAGCTAAGGCATGATGGGCTGGGGATATAGCTCAGTGGCATAAACGCCTGCCTGGCAAGTGCAAGGTCTTAAGTTCGATTCTGGTACCCGCCCCCAAAACCCCCTAAGACATGAGATAGACCCTCACTTCCAAGCCGCTCCCTGTTAAACAATGGGCCCTGCAGTTAGTCCTTGTTTGCTGAGGAAGCTTGTTCCCTAGCAACAGAGCCTCAGGTTGAGCTCATCCCAGTGAAGAGCATTGCCCTATACATCACCTTTGCAGATCCTGATTGCTGGAGCCAGGATTATAGCTCAGCTGCACAACACCTGCCTGTCAAGTTCGAGGTCCTAAGTTCGATTCCCAGTACCCCCACAACGCCCCTCACAACAACAGATCCTGGTTGCTAAGGAAAACGTAGGCCCTCTAGTGATGGAGTTTGGTGTCTCCTAAAAATCCTTCCAGAGCTGGGCCTCTGCTGACCTGGTTGCCAAGGCAACCTCATCCCTCCTCAGCAAACAAAAGTGAAAGACTGCCCAGGATCACTGGGACCATTTTAATCTCACTTTTGTTTAATTCCTGGTTGATAGAGGACTCAAGTCTTAACAAAGGGACCCATCCCGAGATCTCCCCAGTTATACCTAGGGTCCTACAATTCTGCTATTTCTTGTTAATGAAAGACCACACCTCGATAACAAGGGTCATCCAGCTGAGAAAGATGCTTCCTTTAGCCCCATTTAGTTAATTCCTGATTTCTAGGGCACATGTAGTCCCTAGCAACCTGGCCTTGCAGCAAGAGAAACCTCTGATCTCCACTGAGCTGCTAGGCAGGTCCTAGTGCTGTGAACGGCCAGGGCAAAGGCTTGTGCGAGCAGCCCCTGCCAACAAAGACCCCAGTGCGGCACAGCCAGCATGCACAGGTAACCTCAGTTCAGAAGACGGCCCTGGCTGCTGTTGGGAGTCTCAAGCATCTCACTAGTGAGAAGTCCAGGGCCCGGGAACAAACCTGCAAATCCTGGTAAAGCCTGTATCCTAGGCAGAAGCAGTCATTCTGAAGATAGCCCAAATTGGAGGTCAAAGGCCCAGCCTGGCGGGCTGCTAAGCGAACTTGGAACTTGAATCCGGCCCCGCTGAGAATTCTGGGTCCATGTCATCAACCAGACCTAGCATGGTTGGCTGAGTCTATAGCCCACAGTGAAGCTCTTCGTAAATCTCAGGCCAAAGCCCCTCCCCACAGGACCCCTTGGCCAAGGACTCATCCTTGGCTGCAGGGTGGGAAAGCCTAACAGCTCATGCCAGTGAGGAGCCCAGGGCACCGCTAGCACTGGCCCTGTCCTGGCCGCACCTGTGCCACATGCAGCAGTTCTCACCTTCTGCTCTTCTGGCACCTGAATTTTCCTTGCCTTCTTCATGATTGGCTGTGGCTTCAGTTCCTCCTCGGAGAAGCGGTGTCTCCGAGGGTCAAAAGTCTCATGGCCTGGAATGCTTGATAGGGCAAGATCAGCTGGGTCAGGTTCAAAGGTCATCAGCACCTCCACTGTGTCTGGATCCACAGGACTGGGTGTATCCCGAGATGTCAGGCCTTGGGGAGACAGAGTGTGTCACACAAGGCACATTTGTTGGGCAGTAGGTTCTCAGAGGCTACCCCTGCCCAGGTGAATTACCCAGCATACAGAGGCCCATGTGGAGTCTATCATAGAGCCTGCCTACCCAGGCATCGACCTCTGGAACATAAAATGCAGGGTGCAAGGATGCTTGGACAGTACCAGGGTGCAAGGATGCTTGGACAGTACCCAGCCAACTCCACCTTTACAGACAGGCAAACTGATGCCCAGTTATAACTGACTGGCCTTGAGTAACATGAAAATCATGTGGTAGTTTCTGACTCACTTTCTTTTTTTCTTTCTGGGTACTGGGAATCGAACTCAAGACTTTGTGCTTGCCAGACGGGCACTTATGCCACTGACCTATATCCCCAGAACTCATGCAGTAGTTTCTAAAACTTCAAGACTAGCCAGGCAAGGTGGCACATGCCTGTAATCCAGCACTCAGGAGGCTGAGGCAGGAGTGAAATCTGAGGCAAGCTTGGGCTACAAGGCAAGTTCCAGGCCACCCTGGACTACTTAGGGAGATGCTGTCTCAAAAACAAATAAGTGAAATGAAATGAAACTTTAACCCAGTCATGGTGGCACAGACTAATCCCACCACCTGGGAGGCTGAGGCAGGAGCATCCCTGCAAGGTGGACCCTAGCCTGGGGTACATAATGAAACCCTATCTCAAAAAAGTAAAAAATAAAAATAAAACTTCAGGACTTCAGATTCACAGTGGTCTTTCCCTTTCCACTGTCTAACCTAAAAACTATTTTCTAAATTCCTGGTCAAACCGTAGACCCTAGGCTGTTTAGAGAAGAGGACTGAAAAATTAAAATGACTGAGTTATTCGCTTGGAAGGGTTAGGGTAGAGAAATGCAAACGGCTCAGAGGTTCCAAAAGGTTGGTTCGCGAGGAGGTGTCTATGCCTTTAAGCGAGAGCAAGCTGAGGCCAGTTGAGGACACAGGTTCGGGCAGAGTCACGTGCCACCGCCTGCTTCCTTCTGCCCCTCCCCCGCCTCACGTTCCCAGCCCCGCCCCCCCGCGCGTGACAGCGAGCGGCACCCAGGCGGGAGGGAGGGCTCACGTGGCGCGGAGTGTGCAGCTGGGAAAGGGAGGACCCTGCTTCTGCCTGGAGGTCAGGCCTGGGGCAGGTGCACCCAGCAATCTCAGGCTTGTGGTCCGACCCTGGTGACCACCTTTCCTCCTGCTCCTTCGGGTCTCCATGCCACCCTCTGATTGCAAGGATCTCGGGCCCCCGATCTGAGGAGATCGTCAGAGAATATCCTGTCCCACGATTCTGGGATCCCCGGTCCCTCTCCGGAGAACTGAAGATCGCGGAGGATCCAGAATCCAGATCCCGAATCCAGATCCCTTCTGTAGAACTCCAGGACCCGGGGCTGTGGCGCCCCTATGGGGGACCCACGGACCTAGACTGTCAGTTCCTGTCCCGGCGACACAGAAGTCTGCCCACCCCCTGCCTTCTCCGACTTTAGAGGTGCTAGGAGTTAGGGTCCCAGCCCAGTCCCACCGATTCTGGGCTCATCCCCACCAAATAAGTTCGTGTTCCAGGCTTCCCGTCCCGGCTCTAGGAATGCCCGGACACTTGTGCCCACTTCCCACAGACAATTCCACGATTTCTGTGGACAGGAGTCCTAGAATTCGGAGTCCGGAGTCTCCTCCGTAAGGATTCGGAGACTCGGTCCCTGACCCGGTAGCGAGCTCCGAATCTGGACCAGTCTCGTCTCGTCTCGAGACGAGTTGGGACTCTGGCGCGCAGCCAGGGTCCCACGGTCCGCGAGCGGCGCCGCAAGCCCCGCCCCTCGGAG